ACCTGCCTTGATCTGCGAGTGGCAGGCCAAGTGGAACAAGCTGCCTCGGGACGACCAGGCTAAGCTCAAGGCAAGACAAGGCATAAGCATATTGACTCTTGCTGACGTGGACGTGAAGAACAAGGAAACAATGGAGAGTGTCCCCCATGACGGGAAGACCATGGGGGAGATTGTTTTGCGCGGGAGTAGTATCATGAAAGGGTACTATAAGGATCCTAAGGAGACCTTGAAGTCATTCCAGAATGGATGGTTCTGGACAGGAGATGTCGGGGTTGTGCACCCCGACGGCTACCTGGAGATAAAGGACAGGTCGAAAGACGTGATCATATCAGGAGGAGAGAACATTAGCAGTGTCGAAGTGGAGAACATGTTACATGGGCACCCAAAGGTGATGGAGGCAGCAGTAGTTGCAATGCCTCACCCTCGATGGGGCGAAAGTCCATGTGCTTTTGTGGCTCTGAGAAGCAACGCTGAGGGCACCACTGAGTCTGAAATAATCGCTTATTGTCGGAAAAACTTGCCTCACTTTATGGTGCCCAAGAAGGTGGAGTTTCTGCCCCAACTTCCCAGGAACCCAACGGGCAAGGTTCTCAAAAACGAGTTGAGGGATCGCGCAAAGGGCTTCGTCGTGTCGGAAAATTCACAAACCGTCGTGGATTCTCACTACCAAAATCAGCCGATTCTGGCTTTGTCGCGTCTTTGAAAACTTTGTTTTAATTATTAATTTGAGTGTAATAAGGAACAATATATATTTAAAATAAAATTTGTACAGTGGGTTTAAAAATTGATGTGCTGCTGAGGGCAGAGTGGTTGTCTTCCTTTCTGTTTCTTCCCTTGGAGCTAAATCTTCTTATTTAATCACAACTTGTTTTATTTTGTCTTATAGATTAAGTTAAGACGTCACTTTATATACTTAGTCAACCATTTGCTCTCTAGTTTAATTCTTAGTCATTTAGTATCAATCAATGACATATATGTGGCCTACAGTCTAATTAAAAACAAAATGCGTGTGGATTTAGCCAAATTTGTTAAAGTTGACGTGTTCTTCACTCTACACCTGAGTTTGAATCTCCTTCTTCGTAGTTTAAATTTGATTAAAGTAAAATATCGTGTATATATATATATAATAAAATTAACAAAATGTGATTGTGACTATGAAGTGAGAAGAAAAACAAAATACGATTAATGTATTTCCATATGCAAAACTCACTATTGTAATCCGTTTATATTTTCGTAAAAAAAGGATGTGTCGTTTTCTAGGGCTTTTCCTAATGTGATGATATCAAAGTACACAAGTTAAGTTGCGGGAAGGAATTGGTACCAATACAAATAAAATATCTATCGACATTATTCACATGGATGGACCCATTTTATGTACTCTTTTTTTTGGGTCAATGACCCATCTATTATTCATTGCAATGAGATTGCTGTCTGTGGTTCATAAAATAAAGAAATCAAATTTTTACAAAAAACAATTCGATAAAGGCCGCAAATAATATTGCAACGTGGGAAAGGAGCAAAAGGAAAGCAATACTTTGGCAAAAGGAAAGACAAATGACTGGACGAAAGAAGCAGCAGAATGATGAGCATCCACGATCCACCCCATCCCATCCCACCAACACTGAGGGCATGAGAGTGTGAACTGGTTGTGAGCCGATGAGAATTCGGGGTTCAGTTTCTAACTGGATGGCCCATAAGCTATAACAAATATATATCCCTTTCATTAAACAAACAGAGAAAATCAATCTTTTATTTCTCTTTCACAAATCTTTTTTGTTTTGTTTTTTTCAATCGATAAGGTTGCATCTGCTTGTAAAACCCCTTTAACTAACTTTCTGGAAACTTCTCAATTAAAAAAAAATTAGAGTGGGCCAAAGATTAGACTAAACTGCATGTGGAGTGGCAAGTGTAGTTTATTCATAGGGTTTGGATCCTTCATAATTTTGTAGGAGAAATTATGTAAATCACTTGGTCCCGTCAAAAACTGAAAAATATTACCTTGTGAATCGTTCAAACTGATCAAATTGCTAAATGATTTCTGATTGAAGTTCTGTAAGAATGATCCTTGAATCATGAGCTAATTAATAAATTAACAGTAAAGATCATGAGATTAAATTGTGGATTGTGTCCAAATGAGTGGTCTAGTGTCGTATTAGTTTACTAAACGATTAGCGTTTGAGCACTATTGATTAGTTTGTTGCCTTGGTGAAAGGTTGAATGTTGTTAGAATGTTAGAGATTTAGAAATTAGGATGGTGACTGCAATGTTGGTTTTCTATGTGCTTGAAATTAATGTTTGATGAATTTTTTTCAACTTTCAAGTTTAAAGTTGAGATGTTTCATTTCACATGAAAATAAGAGCATTGGTCCTAATAGTTTGGTTTCTCGAAATGTTTTTAAATCAAAACCAAATCAAACTGCACCACTTAAATTGATTTGGCTGCAATTTGGCAATGAATGTAGGGAGATTTTTAACGGGGCCACCGCCGAAGTGAGAGTGACCACTGCCGGCAACAACTAATTGTCCATAGGACATAAACCAAACTAAAATTATCACCACATACATTCTAGCAGCCCTGGTGTCTAATGTCTGTAAGACAATTCATTGTCTTAGCCCACTCTAACTTATTGTTAACTTTTTTTTGAATTTTTTTTTTCTTTTGAAGAACTTTCAGACTTCCTATGTAGGATGGGAAAACATGATGCTTGTTTTCACAAGCTTAACCTATGTTAAGAGGTCCTGACCCCAAATAAAATAACAAAAACCTATGTTAAGAGGTGCACAATTGCCATTTTGTACCCATGCATGGAGTCTCATGTTAAGACTATGCATATAAAGTAGAAGATTTCATTTAGAATGTTCGTCTAGGGTCTCCAAAACATATAACCGGGTGGGGACCAACCGCCGAAGTGACCACTGCCGAACAAACGAATAGAGACCAGCAACATATCATCACATATCGGCAACAACTAATTGTCTATAGGACGTGAACCAAACTAAAATTATCACCACATGCATTCCTAGTAGGCCTTGTGTCCAATGTCTTCCTTCCCCCTACTTTGGTTGGCTTGGGGCTGTATCTTTATCACAATACCTTCATTGATCAGCATGTTGGCCTATTTTTTCGAGATCGTTCAGATTTAGCTTCCACTATTTAGGATGGGAATCCATGATGCAAGTTTTCACAAGTTTAACCTATGTTAAGAGGTCTTGACACAAATACCTATGTTAAGAGGTGCACAACTACCAGTTTGTGCCCATGCACAGAGTCTCATGTCAAGAGGTGCACAGCTAATTCTCTAACATCGCTTGTAAAAAAATGAGATCGATCATTCAAATATAATGAGAAATTCAATAATCCCATTATAAATTGATTTGAACTTGGAATATATCAATTCACCTCAAATGCGATTTGTTTACCGGCCTAGCAATGGTACATCAAGGGAAATCAGGGCTTCAAACTTAGAGCATCTCCAACCGATGTGTCAAACGTGCCAGATAGATATTTAACAGCTAGAAATAACATCTCACATCACTCCAACCGATATGTCAAAGCTGATGTGGAATGAAGGCTAGAGGTTGAGATGTTATTTTTGACATCTCAAAAGCAAGATGTCAAATGAATATTTTATTATTTTTTAAAAACAGCTGACTATTACTTTCATTTATTATTTTCCTTTATTATTTTTTTTTATTCTTTATCTTAAATGATTTGACAGTTACAATAATTATTTATTTGACATATCGGGTGGAGTGTAAAAGTATGTAAATGTCAAATTGCCACATCAGCCATCAAATTTAAATTTGATGTTTGGTATTTGACATCTCCCTTGGAGATGCTCTTAGGGGAGTGTATTCAATTGTGATTTTAATGGATTGTTTTGAAGCTTAAAAGTACAGTGGTATTCAATTAGGATTTTTAACTAATCAATAAATATCTAGTGGTATTCAATTAAGATTTTTAAATAATCAATACAAGTCCGGTGGTATTTAATTAGGAGTTTTAAAAGGTAAGAAAAAGTATTGTGGTATTAACAAACTTACCGATTTTGAGGTATTTTATTAAATAATGTATTGTGTGAGACTTTTGAGTGTGTGATACAAATACCAAATCACATAACAAATCTCATCTTCCTATGCATGATTCTTATATATGCTCTCATACTTTTTTTTTCCCCACTATTCGACTATACATAAAAAAAAAACTTTTCATAAGAGATACGATAAAGAAACATTAACAAGAAAGACGATATTGCCTTTCCTGGAGCTAATGGGCATTTTCCAATAGCTCTTCTTTCCTTGTAGACAAGCTTATTTGGAGCAAAATTATATTTTCAATACTCTTTTTTTTTTAATCTCCTACTCATTGTAGACATTTCCTTGTAAGGAGTTGCAACTCTGTCATTGTGCCCACAAGTTGCTTGATCTAATGCCTCAAAGAGGCTTTTTTTTTTTTTTTTTTTTTTTATGCGTAGCTGCTACGCATACATCACACATGGCTAAATATTTTTTCTAATTCCCTATCCCAAAATGTTTGGGACCAGGACAAAACAAAAAAAGGAAGAAGCTTTACCCACAATCTAGAAGAAACGCTGATGAGGTACAAGGTGTTTTTTGCTCCATAGTTTTGGTCCAAGCTTTGACAAAAATTAGGAGTATTCATTGGGTTGGGCTAAGAGTTTTCACTATGTTTCTTTATTTTGTATTTCTGGTGCTATATGTTTTGCATTAGGTGTTGGTAGTTTTGGATGTAGCTTCTAGCCCCTACTTATGCTTTTGTATTTCTATTGTTGGTTTCTCAATTGTGTTGTGTTCTTTTAACATATTCATTCTGGGCATATATGGCTATATTGGGAGTTACATTGTTGATGTCGGTGTATTCTCTCTGGACTAACCATTGATGGTTACTATGCCTCCATCTTTGCATTAACCCTAAAAATTGGATATATGTATCCTAAAAATTGGGTACATTCCTTCAGGTTATGCATTTAGGTGAATGATGATGGGTGATAAGAGTTCAAGCTTGTATAGAAATATAACATCGTTTTAACATGTTAATTTTGGGGCCTCTGTTAGAAAGCCCGTCTGTGTTTTCCAATTTGGGAAGAAATTTTAGACAGAATTAGACCAACAATGGTAAAGCTTTATTAATATATATTTTTTTTAATGTATAAATAAAATGGTTCACATCCTTGAGATTTGCAGGGGAACTGTTGCTTCGAGGACTTCATCCGTAATGTAAGCATGCTGAAGCTTTTCCAGTCTACCAAATTTATTTAGGAGATGTCTCTGACAGTCCTCAGCAGCTATAACTCCAGCTGAGTAAGCTCCATGCACAGATCCTTGGTGGTCCATGCTAACAGCTTCCCCTCCAAAGAAAAGACTGCCCAAAGGTGCTCGAAGCCTATCATATATATCTCCAGGCTTTCCAACCAAATCCAATGAGTAGCATCCAAGAGAATTCAGGTCTGTTCCCCAACGTGATACAAGATATTGAACCTGTTACAGACAAACCAATCAAAGGTAAGTCGACAATATTCGTATCAATATCGACTACAGAACACCTCATTGAGAAGAGATTTTGTCCCATTTCTGATAGATATATATGACAAAATTTCCAAGAACAACTAATACATAGATTGACCAAAACTGGCTGAAACTAATGAACTTACTGGATCAGTTGCATCAGGTAACATCTTCTTAAGCTGCAACATAACAAAACTAACTGCACCATCATCAGTTAATTTTTCAAGGTCGTATGCAAACCTTCCAGCAGCCATATAGACAAGGACCGGATGGCCTGTGGTCTTGTGAAGATTGAGAAAATAACCACATGCATAAGAGGTTGGTGCAACCACGCCTAAGAGCTCTACATTAGGCCAGAAAACCTTTTCAAATCGCAAGGCAATTTTGTTTTCATTGCCCACCCCAAGATCCGAAATTGCATCAACCTTCCACTCAGGCAACTTTGGTTCAAACTCAATCATCTTGGCTTTAAGAATACCATGGGGTACTGTTATTATAGCTGCATCAGCAACGAAGTTTCTTCCGTCTTCAATTGTGACCATCATTTTGTTATGCCCATTTAATATCTTTGTAACCCTGCTTATAATAACAAAAATTAAAGCTTGTCAAAGACTGAAGAAACTAATTCTAAAATTTAACAAAAGGTGGCAGGAAGGGCATTAAGAAACATAACTAAGAAATCCGATTTAGTATGTCTTTCACCTTATCAAAAGGTATATATGTCGCTACCCCAATGGCATTATGTCAATTTTTTTGTTTGTATAACTCACAATGCACCCACACCAACTGAAGTAAACACATTTTTCTGGTATGGTACAAGCACGCATACCTGTGATTCAAGCGTACATCAATATCTTCTGCAAGAGCCTTTATTATTGGGTCATAGCCTTGCACCATAAGTCCATGGCCACCAGAAAGAACATGCTCCTGTATAACAAGGACCCTCAACTGTGTAAGCCTTCATCCAAATATAACTCAAAATGACCTAGACGAAAAATGCATCCAACCAGTAATTACCTGCCTAACACAACAATTTCCACTGACATATGGCTATATATCAAGATAAAATCAAAAAGATTCGCTCTCTTAATGAGCCACAGACATACAGCTACTGATCCATGCATCACACTAGTAGATAATGTTGGCAGTTAAAGACTGAATGAGCCACAAAGGCCAGGAAAGAATTTGCTGCAAACTGGAATAAGTGGTTTTAGCATTTTGACTTGCTCCTTGGTTCAAAATATTCAAGCCATTGAAACCAGAACATGACATGATTTATAAATTTAAATAATAGACATGTTTCCCAATGTGCAGTGCAATACCATTGGGGATCAGAGTTCAACATCAAATCTAGAAGCACGATCTGGGAGAACAAAACAGACACTCAATTCCCAAAATAAAGTCTTAAAGAAGCTAACAATTTTGCATTATAGTTTAATGACTTTTGTGTTTTTAAAGGGTCGATATTTCTGAAGTAAGATCAACTCACTAGTCTTCCTGTATCTCGGGCACTTTGCTTGCTCTAAAACTAGTTCAGCTTCCTGGGTAGAAACTGTTTATTATTTAAATAAAGCAATCATTCCCTCCTCACCCTGGTCATGTAAAGCTTTAAACAAAGAAAAGAAAATAAAAGATGAGTTAAAGTGAGTTTTCATTTTAGTTGGATTCATTTAAACTTGAAGGATAAAGCCACTCTATGCCAAGTAGGTCGTTAGCAAATTGTTATGGAGATTCAAGTACCAGTGAAATCAATCCTATGGAGATCAACAAGGAGAGGGTTTAGAAAATCCACGTTCTTTGCATGAATGGTGGGGAACTCAAGAGCTGACAATGACATAAAAATATAAACTATCAAATTTTCAAAAGACGAACAGCTAGTTGAGGGGTAATCATACTGTTCCAAATACATGCACTGTAACTCGGATTATTCATCAAGTACAATTCATTCACCATTAGGGAACACTTTCCCAAGGAGGTGTTTACTAAACTGCAGTCTTTCCCATGGAATGAATTGTAAGGAGGCCAGCCCACCAAGAGTAATTAGAAAAGTTTAGATATTGAACCTGATCCCAGTTTTTTAGCGATATCACATCTGCATCTGCAGCGAACCACGCTTCCATTCGACATATGTACCATTGTAACACTTCGTGAGCAAGTCCGTTTTGTCTACAGAAGACAGAAGTAAAATCATTACAAATGAAACATACTGCAATAAAATGTGTCCTAACTTAATTTATTTCCAATACCTTAATTCTGGATGCCTATCCATCACAATAGAAATTGCTTGAGAGACAGACATGTCATCAGTATTCTCATTCCGTACTTTCTCGGTCTAGAGAAATTAAACAAGAGTATTTTGCAGATTTCAGCAGTGTTGGATTCATAATTACAACAACAACAACAAAACAGAACCAAAAAAAAAAAAAAAACACGCAGAATTCAGTTTAAAGATTCTACCTCTTTGAGAATTTGCTTGAAAGTATTACCAACTTCAATGACCATCTCTTGAGGAACTTGGCTTCCATCCATATCAAAAAGTGCATAGCTGAAAGGGAATCCAGATATTCAGGACAATACTTCAGACTGAATATGCAAGCTATGTTGAATGCACAAGTAACTGCATTATGAATCAAAATATCATTGCTGCATGTGCTGGAAGACAAAATTTTGAAGTATGAAAAAGGTAAGCCACGAATTCAATTTTTTCTACTGTCTTATAGATGAAAATTTCAACAACAAAAAAAAATTGAAGAATAAAAAATAAAATAAAACTTCATGGTCTTCTGTGAATGTACCAATCTCACTTCTAATTCCATAAACTAATTCATTTAGATCAATTAGATACTTCTAATTCCATAAATTAATTCATTTAGATCAATTAGATAATTAATTCGTTAACACAGCAAGGATGTAATTACCTTTCCAAATCATGGTCATACAACACAGAGTCGTCACCACTCGTACGGTATAAAGTAAGTCCTAGACGGCGTATCAGTGGAGCCAAGGGATTCTCATTGCAAACACCGTGTAGCCTGAAATAAAATTGAAGAGAGTATTAGACTGTTAGTTAATAAAGCCATCAATTCTTCTTTGGTTCTTCAAATGCAATGCACGGCTACGAGAGAGAGAGAGAGAGAGAGAGAGAGAACAAAAATAAAACATTATTGCATTGCATTTGGCTATGGAAATACAAGCATCCCTCATCTCAACTCAGCTAGGATGAAGGTACAAAATATGACGAAGATGCAGGCTAATGAGTGTCTTGCTGCGAGGATTTATTTTCCTTATGATATCTTCAATAAAGAACATCTAGTCAGGATCAGAGTAGAAATATTTCACATGCTAAGGCCATACAACATCCCAGTCACATGATCAATGTCATTTCATTTTCTGTGACATCTAGAAATTTATTGCTTTATTGCCCTTGCGATTACTTGTGTGCACACATGCAGATTAGCGCACGCATTTACACGGCAAACACTAAAGATTATGCACAAAACAGATTCATACTTGTGAATGCACAGAATCCTATCTTATGGGTGGCCCAGCAAGCAAATATGCATTTTTTCTACATACTTTAATATATAAGTGGCTAGAGAAAGAAAGGCTTCTGTGTCTGTTTTGTCCGCATAAGACAAAATAACTATGGGAAGCACAGGGCAGACAGGGAAGAGGGAATGCCAATAGTAACAAGACTCCCATTGTTGAAAACAGTAAACTCGGCAGGGGTGACCAACATCGACGGAGAATACACAAAACTCTTTTTGACTAAAATTTTCATGTTTGTAAGATTCTCTGTAATGCAACAGTGGATAATTTTAATCAGGCAGCAGAGAGAATTGGAAATAAAACAGATAGAGCGAGCAAATTAAACAACAAAACACATTAAATAGTGCCACATGAACCAAAGCACGGCCTATGGGCAATTTTTTCATTGACATGTACAGCTATATACCCAACCAATTTGGTAAAAGCAGAGGAAAATTGTAAAGAGGGGTCCTGCATTCCCAAAATTTACGAGCAATGAAGTTACCATGATGCTCCCATATCTACTGGACAACCAAATGAGTAGTCAGTATGAATCCGGCCACCAAGTCTGTCTCGTGATTCTAGCAAGATAACCTGACAAAACAATGACAGTAAAGCTAAGCCATTGTTGAAATCAAGCAAGATGCAATTTTTTCCAAGACCCATCATGAGTTTAAACATCCTCAGATATATCTAACACTAATAATTGCAAATCACTGACCTTAAAAGATGCATCATGGAGAACACGTGCAGCTGCAATTCCTGATATACCACCACCAATGACAATAACAGAAGGGCATGCATTGTGCTGCCTCTCAATGTGAGACGAAATAGAGCCTGGTCAACACAACATAGAGTTTTCAGACCAAAAAGAACAAGCTTGCCAAAAAAGAACAAGAACCCAAAATGTCGAAAGCAACTTCAAATTAAGAGAGACAAAGATTGGTGGAGAATATAAGAAAATATACCTTCCAGAAAATCAGTAGAGAAAAAATCTTTTGGGTCCATTGGGATTGGCATGAAATGGGAAAATTGAATGGAATGATTAAATGAAATCCAATAGCAAAGGAATTTGATTTTGGTTATTATTTTTCAAGGGAATGGTGTATAGGAATCTTGGAAACTAACTGGAAAGAATGATAAAGAATGAAGATGAGAAGGAAGGCAATGATGCGGCTGAGATTGGGAGAAGAACAAGAACAACGCAGCTTCTCAAACCAGCTCATGACATTTATCATGTCACATATGCTCACACCAATCCCCACTCCAATTTAAAGCACTTGAATTTCACCAACAAAGAAGAAGAAGAATCGTCTGTCTAATATGGTAAGTTGATTGCGCAGATGGGTCTCTCTCTATCTCTCTATCTCTCTCTCCCTCTCTCCCTCTCTCCCTCTCTCCCTTGTATTATAAGCATATGGCATAAAATTATACAAAGAAGGATCGATGCCACCAGGACCAGCTAATATAGCATATCCTGCGTTTTCCCTTTTCTGTCGAGAGACGATGAACACGACAGAAGAAGACCACCCAAATTGCCAATTGCCATGGCCAATGGGCAATTGGGATATATGGGGTGTCTCAAGCTCAGATCCAGCAGTGTCCCAAGTTGGACCAAATTGTTCAAAGCTATCCAATGGCTGGCGATTGTTACTTGTTAATAATTCTTTTATTTATATTGTAATTACTTTTTTTGGCGGTTTTTGAATTATAATTTAACGGCCCACTCAACGTATATCCCTCCACGTGAACCTCATTAATCATGGATCAATATTCGCCAAGCCGCCATTATCTTTTTTCCGAACCGCCATTGTCTTTTTTCCATTTTTATTATTTTTGGTAAGCAAAGGCAAGCCGCCTTTAATTTTCATCATTCATCAACTATTGAATTCCGTAGACTTGCATTAGACTAGTTTTAGACTACTTTATCAAGGTTGTGTTTCCGTTTCCTTGCATTCAAAGTTTAAACATCGCTTATAAAAGACTCATTAGTTTAGTGATGTGCAGTAACTGTTCATTCAGGTAAGGTTCTGATTTCGAATCCTAGTATTCGTGTTATAAGTGTAAATTTAGTATATTAGTGTCTCTCTTAGAGCATCTCCACCCACAAGGGCTAAGTCTAAGGCAAGGGCAAGCAAGGGCCGCCCCCCATTACCTGCAAAGATTGGACTCCTTTTCTTTTTG